TTTGGCTCTTTTCAAGCCATCACCAGAACATTCCTGTACTTCCCAAAACTTGCCCATCTTCAAAGCTCGACTTCACCCCAGATTTCATTGAGGACATCTCAATTACTTTAATTAATTTTCCCCATTTGATTGTCAGCTGTGCATACTGTTTAACCCAATTATTCTCTACTCTTTTCTTACATGCTTCGTGCCCTTAGATTGGTACCCACACAAAGGCAGAACCCTAGACTATTGCAATTTTGTACTTTTTTTTCCCTCTCCCGACTCTGCCTAGTGGAGTACAGAGAAGAGAGTAAGCCCAGCCGATCCACTGATTGATATTCATATTCTTCCTTTTCTTGTTTTTGTGCTTTTCCATGTTTGCTTTAGAAGGCTGAATATTTTAGATGCTATATTTTGAATGATATCCTAAAATTATATATAGTTGGCAAGTAATAGCATTTTTGCAGTTAAGAGTGATGAGGTATATATTAGGATAAATGTATATTTAACTCCAGCTTTATCTAGTTATTGCAGGTCTAAATGTAGGAAACCTTACTGCTTCTACCCATGGTTAACTAGGTCTTGCTTTTTTAAGTGTGTGTGTGTATTTCTTCCCCAACATCTAAGTGAATTCTATCATTAAGAAGTCACAAAATATGTAGATATTAGTGTAAAAAGCACTTAGGAAATAACTAGATAAGGAATGTAATCATTAATCCAACTAACAATTAAGAGTCTCTAATGGTATATTCAAGCTTTATCACTGAAGCCTCTATAGTGCACAGCAATGAACCTTGTTTGCATAATAGAAGCTTAAAAATGGCCCAGCAACTCTGGTCTTATTTTACAAAGCTTTGAAAGAAAAATGATCACTCCCTTCACTGTCCATGGGCTAGGCTTTGAATACTGGCTTTCTGCCATGTTGTCTGCTCTTGATTCACCTTGAAAGTCAGTTTTGGTTCTTGGAGGTCATAATGGACCACTGCTGGTCCCTCTCTGCTATAGCACCAACCAGTGAATGAGGACACAAACACTGCTCAGGGCAGGCATCTTGTTCATGAAACATATCCAGGAATCAACACCTTTCTTCCACCTATAGTAAAAGCCATTCTAGGAGTGGATTTTGGATTGAGATATTATTTTGAATTCTCCATGTCTCTGCTTCATTTATTTCCTAGGACAAAGAAAGCGAACCTAATAATTCTGAGTGTCAAGCCTCCGTTAGCTGTCCTCTTCTCTTTGCTCAGCCTGTGGATCTCGGAGAACCTATGCCCTCTTCTTGCAGAGCCTGATTTCTGAAAGTGTGGCCCTCATAAAAACAGCATCGCCTGGACACTCATTCTCTTTGCAGCTGCAGGCCCCATCCCAAGGCTTCTGAATCAGAATCTGCATTTTTAATAAGATTCCCAGGTGATTTGGTTTGTAAGCACATTAAATAAAGTGTGAAAGCCTTGAACTTCTGTTAGGGATGCTCATGGGGCAGCGGTGCTGGCTACAGGACTGACAGGCGACAGGGCCCTCCCCGCATCCATTGATCATCAGTTGGCCCTTGTTAGTCTCCTCAAAGGTCTTCCTTTGCCGTTGGTTCACCCTGCGCGGGGTGGCGCACCGTGCTGATCCGATGGCAGGAGCCAGGTACTTCTCCTGGTCTCCCATGGGGTGCAGGGCCCAAGCACTTGGGCTATCCTCCACTGCACTCCCTGGCCACAGCAGAGAGCTGGCCTGGTAGAGGGGCAACCGGGACAGAATCTGGCACCCCGACCGGGACTAGAACCCGGTGTGCCGGAGCCACAAGGCGGAGGATTAGCCTGAGCCGCGGCGCCGGCTGAATCTTTCTCTTTTCTAGTTCTTAAAGGGTGTTTCATGGTGCATCAGCCTCAGGGCGCAGTTGCAGCTGCGTCGATAGAGGGCGCTCTATATTTCTGGGCAGTTAGACACCCTTCAGCCGTTCTGATGGAGCCTGGGTTGTGAGAAGTGAGGCCTTTGGATGGATGCAGGATGGCAGCCCTTACCACTTGTGGTCATTAAAGTTCCCGTGGTGCTTTTTGTGAGAGAAGGGATTGTTAACCTCGGTGTCCTGGCTGACTTCCAATCTGTGTAATTGCATGCAGCCTACCTAAGTCTGCTCTGTAGTTTCAATTAGGTAAAGTATTGTTCACTTCATGTACTAAACTGCTGTGTTGTGTGGCTACAGACTGCTAATTAGCTGGTGTTTTTCAGGTGGCTGTGTTCCCGATGAACAAAATGCCTTTCTCTGGTCATGTCCTTCCGCACTCCTACTCTCCCCAGTACCCACAATCCCACACACAGCCGTGTGTCTGTGTTCTTATTTATCACTATTTCTTGTGATATGTGCTTTGGGAACAGAAATTCCTAGAACATGACGGAGAGCATTTCTTGAGTTCTCTATATAACCAGTAGCTTCTAGACTTAGCTGGACTATTATAGGATGTTACGGGGCAGGAGGGTGGAAACTCATGTAGATAATAACAACAGTGTGATAATGGGGTGGGTAAAACAGCCTGTTCTCTGCCAAGATGAACTTCTCGGGCTTTCAGGGAAATAGAAATTGCTTTAAGACCTCTCAGTGACATGAGAGGAGGGGAAGGACAGACTACAGCATGCATTTGATTTCTTCTTTCCCACCAGTTAAAAAAAACATAGTGGGATCTGGAAACTACCAGTAAAATTCCTATCTCTGTGCAGGACCTCTGACCCTAAACAGGAAGTGTATACCAGGAGGGAGAATGGAATCCCTTCCTGATGACTCAAAGTCAGCACCAGGGAAGGACTCATGACTTTAGAATGGTAGCTGGAAATGAAAGAGAAGTAGAAAAAGATGGGTGAGCAGGGAGCCAAGAGAGCAGCACTGTGCTCCCATCTGAGGAAGAGACATGTTTGAGGGTGGAATTTTTCTGAGATGTGAAATGATTGCTAAAGAAGTGCACAAGTGGAAAATAATTCAGCTTTAGGTGAAGTACCACTATGCGTGCCTTTTCACCCTGTGAACATATTTATTCTGCTTTGATACTCAAGAGATACGAGTCAATAAGATAAAAGTTTTTCATATCCCAAACACCGTAGGAGACAAATGAAAATCAATGAGAGAATGAAATAAATGAGTGAACAAAAGTGATAAAGGGTAGACTATTTATTAACAAATGTATGTTGACCATCAATTTACAGAGTGCCAAAAAATGTTTTTGGTGCTGGAGTACGAGCATTTTTGTCTTGCCTATTTCTTGCAATGGTTCCATCCCAAAGGGTTCCAATGTTGTTTATCAAAATGTGAAAGAAAAATGAGGGCTTATTCTATTTGATGATAATTGACAGAATGCTTCTAAAATACAGGCTAATGTGCCAAGTCCTACAGAAGAGGAATGATGTAGGGGGAGAAAATTGGGATTGAGGATAGGATTAGGGGATGTGGCCATTCTCAGATACAGGCAGGGAGATAGATAACAAAACTGAATGAGGGGGGTCGGCACTGTGGCGTAGCGGGTAAAGCCGAGGCCTGCAGTGCCAGCATCCCATATAGGGTTCAAGTCCCGGCTGCTGCACTTCCTATCCATCTCTGCTATGGCCTGGGAAAAGCAGAAGATGGCCCTAGTCCTTGGGCCCCTGCACCTGCATGGGTGACCCAGAAGAAGCTCCTGGCTCCTGGCTTTGGATTGGTTCAGCTCCAGCTGTTGCAGCCAATTGGGGAGTGGGCCAGTGGATGGAAGATCATTCTCTCTCTCTCTCTGCCTCTCCTTCTCTTGCTGTGTAACTCTTTCAAGTAAATACATAAATATTTTAAAAAAAAACCTGAATGAGGTTCTCAGATCCAAGAAGTTTATTGCTTTACTGGTGAGATTGTCTTAATTTCTAGCTCAGCATCTATCCCATAATAATACTTGATATATGTGGTTTTTTTTGTTGTTGTTAATAAGTGGATGGATGGAGAAAGAATTTGAGAATTATTATAATAGCAGGAGGAAAAGCAGGGAAAAGAAAAAGGAAACTGTCAGGAAAATAGTTAAATTAAAAAAGAATATGGGTAGGAAGAGAAGAAATTACCAGAAGTGAAATATGGGAATCTCCATACAAAGGAAAATATTTACTAATAAAGCTTGTGAGTTCTGCATGCATGTACTTTTAACTTTCTTTTTACATATTAACAAATAAACCTGGGGCAGATTATAGGCAAAAAAAAAAGTCACTAAGGCAGCGGTACAACAGACTTAACTATTCTCATATTAAACTTGGGCTCTATTATTATGGAGAGGCTTCCAAGGAGACTTTTCCAATGGCCTGACTCAAAGAGCCCCGAGACTCCTTCCCCTGTTCCCTGGAGGCTCTCATTCCAATGAGGCCCATGGTTTTAGCTGGATACTGCTTCAAAGTCAGCGTGGTTGAATCTGCTACTGGACACAGGCTAATTAATATTTACATCTGAGACTTCTTCCTGTCCACTGCTAACGTCCAGTCTTTCCTCAGCCTACACATTGCTGTCTTGAGATCTCAAGTTTCACGCAGAATCTGCGCTTCTTGCATGAGAGGAAAAAAATAAAAAGCCCAAACCCAACGACACGGAAATCTGCAGAAACTCTGTTAACTATTCCTGGATGTCACCCTGCAGCTCTAATTTCTGCTTTCTCCTCTGCATTCTGGGTACTGCTGCCGGCCTTGTCAGCACCTTGTCACTGCTTCCTGTTGCGTGGGCTACCATCGGACTCTGTGTTCTTAACAATTATCCGTAAAAAAAAAACCCCACAAAATCCTTCATGATGATAAGAATATATATTAACAGGTAAAAAAGGGGGAGGAAGTTAATTAAAAAAACAAAATCTTGTTTCCTGAAGTGCATGCTGTTTATGGATGCTGCACAGTCTGGACTGACTGTGATATCATCTTGTCTTTCCCAGTCCTGTGATGCTCTTTTGTTCATGGTGTGACAAGGATGTGAGGAGCCAATATGACTTAACTAAATAATACACAAATGTCAAGATACTTTCACGTCTTGTGTGCACATCAAGCTTTTCAGGGAACAACCCTACTGTTGACAAGGAGCTTGGTGGACAAAAAGTGGCTAAGAAACATTATTAAAAGCAAGCTATGTTAAGGTCGAATTTCACTGGCGTTTAAAAGATAGAGGGCTGGAGAGGAAGTCGACAGGCAGAAGGCAGTGACGAATTAGGCTTGTCCTGGAATTCTGAGCAGTAGGGAGAAAAGTAAGTCCAGTAAGAGATGGAAACAAGGGACGGGTTTCTCAGAATTAAAGGTGAACCGAAAGGAATTGGCAGCTGCCTGGACATGCCAGCCAGAGAGGCCACGGTATCTGATACACGTGACAGAGTGAGAGACAACAGCAACGCTCCCCAAACGACTCGCCTGGAGGGCTTGCCAGGAAGCCAGATGCTGCTTCTGGAAGAATATCTTCTGTGGTTGGGCATCTGGGTTCAGTGCTTTCCATTTAAAGGGGAGAGAGAAGGTGGCAAAGGCTGTACCGGCACTGCCTTTAGAAAATGTGCTGTTTCTGAAAGTACGTATAGGCACGCGTCTGTGCACACACATACCCTCAAGAATTAATGAATGCTGACACAGAACGTGGTTTTAAAAAGAATCCCTAAAAATGAAACTTTCTCTAAGTGCTTTTTTAGATGGAAAGCAATATATTAAAAGGAGGGAAGAAGGGAGGAAGAGGAGGAGGCAGACAGATACCAAGAAAACTCCTTATATAAATACAAGGGCTTATTAATGTTAGGATTAATCAGATAATTTTATTTAAAGGGTTGGTGTTATACCTCGTGTGCAATTAAAACAAGGGACTTGTGTGATGGGCCCATGGCTCTATCATAGTTGGCTGCTCTTTCTCACTTTGTTTTACTGTTCCCTCATCCCTGGAAACACAATCGAGTATTAGTATTGGCAAGAGAGTAGAGTGTGGTCAAGTGGACTGGAAGTCAGGTGACTTGAGGTCTGGTTGATTTTTTTTCCTCTTCCACTTTGAAGTTTGCTTGTCTCTGCTCACAAAGCATGGGAACCAAGTTTCTCCATATACTTAAAAGGAGAGGGCAAGTTTTTTTTTTTTTTTTTTTTTTTTTTTTTAATAAAGGTGATCTCTCTCTCTCTCTCTTTGCTTTATGTGATGCTAAGTATTTCAAGATAGTATGAAGTTGCTATTGGATCTGACACAAGTGACAGACCAGGGAGGCTGTGGTTGACCTAAAAGGAGGCAGGAAAGGTAGAGATTATTCGGTTTAGGAGGAGTTATGGCAAAAGATGTTAAAAGAAATCTCTATATTCTAACAACCATTACTAATCCCAAATAATAAATCAGAGGAACCGCCTGCATCACCTTGTATCGCAGTAAGGGAGCTGAGTCTGCAGTCACTGAGGGGTGGCCACAGGCTCCCTGTGAAGGTATCCTCTGTATGATCACCCTCTTTGAGTCCTTATTCTTCACTGGATTTGTGTCTTTTCAACATGCTCTCCTACTGCTACAATCACCTTTGTACTATTCTTCTCTTCATCATAATGAAAAGAGAAATATCATGTAAGGAGAGATAAACTTGAGAGAAATGGTTTTCTTACCAAGTATACCCTCAAAATAGAACACTGTGCTTCTTGAACTTAGTCTGCAAAAATATTGCAGGCTTCAAAAGTTGACTTTATCTGGAGCTACTCACTAGCTATCAGATTATCTGCACCTTTTTCAATGAAGTCACGTGACTCCGCTTCTTCAACAAAAAGTAACTGAGAATCTTCCATGTGTGGGACACTAGAATGGGCTCTGTGCATATGCACACCATGAATCAAAATTCATGCAAATTCCTGCACCCCTTGAGCCAATGTTCTTTTTTTTTTTTTTTTTTTTGACAGGCAGAGTGGACAGTGAGAGAGAGAGAGAGAAAGGTCTTCCTTTTTCCGTTGGTTCACCCTGCAATGGCCGCTGCGGCCGGCATGCTGTGGCTGGCACACTGCGCTGATCCCAAGGCAGGAACCAGGTGCTTCTCCTGGTCTCCCATGCAGGTGCAGGGCCCAAGCACTTAGGCCATCCTCCACTGCACTCCCGTGCCACAGCAGAGAGCTGGACTGGAAGAGGAGCAACCGGGACAGAATCCGGCGCCCCGACCAGGACTAGAACCCAGGGTGCCGGCGCCGTAGGCAGAGGATTAGCCTAGTGAGCCGCGGCACCGGCCAAGCCAATGTTCTAATGGCAGGAGGAGCCTGCTCAGTTCTTTATGATTTCCATTCTCACTAATATTTTCAGGTCCTGATTTATTACAGAGTTGTTATTTTTTCCTGTGAGATTACTATATTTATTTCTGTGACTTTTCCCAGATGATGAATCAACTTAAAAGAACAGTAGCTGGGCGGGGCTGCCATTCTGGCACATCAAATAAAGCCACCATTTGATGCCTGCATCCCATATCAGCACACCGGTTCAAGTCCCACCAGCACCACTTTTGATCCAGCTCTCTGCTAATGCTCCTGGGAAGGCAGAGGATGATGGCCCAAGTATTTGGGCCCTTGCCACTCATATGGGAGACCAGAATGGTGTTACTGGCTCCTGGCTTCTGCCTAGCCCACATCTGGCTTTTGTTATCATCTGGGGAGTAAACTAGCAGATGAAAGATCTCTCCCTTTCTCCCCTCTCTCTGTCTCACTCTACCTTTCAAATAAATAAATAAATAAATCTACAACATAAAAAAAGAACAGAAGCTGGTCATTGCTAGAAATTCTGCTGGATTTTCTAGACCTTTTTTGTGAAGCTAGTAATTTTATTTTTAAAAAGGATTTGTTTATTTATTTGAAATACAGACGAATAGAGAGAGAGGAGAGGGAGTGTAAGATGGAGAGAGAGAGAGAGAGAGATGTCCCATCTGCTCATTCAATGCAAATTCCTGCAACAGTCAGGACTGGGTCAGGCTGAAGGCAGCAGCCAAGAATTTCATCCTGATCTCTCACATGAGTGGTAGGGGTCCGAGTTACTTGGGCCATCATCTGCTGCCTTCCAAGGAGCATTAGCAGGAAGTTAGGTCAGAAGCAGAGTAGCCAGCACTCAAATGCACTCTGATAAGAAATTCTGGCATTACAATGCCAGCCCCTTAATTATTGATTTTCATCACAAAATATAATCTGCTCTTGACAAATTTTCTCTTTATTCACCTGAAAGCTGTTGCCAGATGCCATTCCTGATGTCTCTTCCTCGGACAACCTTGTCCATGTCAGAAGATCTTGGAAGTCTGTTCTCAACTCTTTTCACATTGTCTCATTTATTATCTTACTCCCCTGCTATCCTTAAAATGACAACTTTCAAGTTTATACTGAGATCTTAAGCTGACAACTTTCAAGTTTATACCAAGATCTCAATCACCTTTCTTACATTTTCAGCAGTGTTTCTTATCATCTGTTGGACTATGCTAACAGAATGTCAACAGAGACTAAATCACATCATGTCCCGCAAGTTTCAGCCTCCAGTTGGGTCCTTTTCCAGTCTGTGAGCTAAGGATGCCATCATGCACATGCTAGCACTTCAAAGCCTGGCTACCATCTTGGACTCCTCCCTCTTTCTAGACTCCTGTCTGCATTCAATGAGCATGTCCTGTTGAATCCGTCTCCTTGGTGTCTCTGGTCTCCACCCCTGTGCCTCATTCTTCCTACTATCCCTTACTTTGGGATTTCTAGCTTGGACTAGGATACTAGCCCTCTTAAGAAACAGTCTTCTTGACCTCTAGTGTTGCCCTCCTAAAAATTACCTTTACTCTTATCACAACTGTGATCTTTAGAAGTACAAATCTCATCACCTTAGCTCCTTCCTCCAGACCTTTCAGGGGTTTTCTGCATGTCTACCAAAAGAAATTTAAATGCCTTAGAAAGCATATGATACTCTTCACAATTTAAGTTGTTTACACATTCCAGGCTCATGTTCTGCCAAATTTCTGTTCCTGCTTCACTTGGTGGTCTCACAGACTCTTGTGTCACATCACATTGATTGTAACTGCTTACTAATTTAACTACCTGAGAAGATGGTAAGATATGTGAAGGCAGGACTCTTCTTCATGCCTCCAGTATTGAGTTGAAAGGTCAGCAACTTTTTCTCTTTTCTTCTTATTTTTAATGTCTATTTATTCATTTTATTTGAAAGGTAGAGTATCCCCCCCACACACACACACAGAGAAATTCTCTGTGGATTTACTTTTCAAATGACCACAACAACCAGGACTGGGCCAGACCAAATCCAGGAGCCAAGAACTCCATCCTGGTCACCCATATGGGTGGCAGGGGCCCAGACATTTAAGCCATGAGCTGCTGTTCCCAGGATGCATTAGCAGGAAGCTGGGTAGGAATCAGAGCAGCTGGAACTTATACTTCAATATGAGATGCAGGTGTTCTGAGCCATGGCTTAACCCACTGTACCACAATGGCCTTTCTGTAGGAGTTTTTTTTTTTTTTTTTTTTGAAAGGGCTGAGTGAATATTTTTGGCTTTGTGTAACTTGTGAGTACTCAACTCTTGCCATTGCAGTGTGAAAACAGCCATAGGCAATATATAAACAAATATATGTGTGTATTCCAATACAGCTTTATTGACAAAAATAGGCAGTCTAGATGTGGCCCATGGACACAGTCTGACAATCCCTGATTTCATTCAGGCCTGGAACACAGCAAGCACTCATTTAAAACTTCCTGAAGGAATTAGTGGGTAGGATTTTATAGTTAACAAACATTTTCACAAATGTGAATTTATTTGACCTATATTTCACAAATGAGCAAAAGCAAGGGTTAGAGACATTAAAAATTTTTTCTGAACATTGTACAATTTTTAAGGTCTGAGGTTGGGACTTGAGCCTATGTCTTCTCCTTCCAAATCCTCAGTTCTTTCCATTAGGTAAAAGGCCAAGATTCACAGTAGAAAAAGCTGGGGAAACTTAAAAAATATCTACCTCTTATTAGGAATTACCCCATAACATGCACCTTCACTAACCAGGAAAGATAAGATAGCAGTGACTCTAAGGTTGGTTTTGTTTCTTATTATTCAGTGGTAAATATTACTATTCAAATGTTAAATCTAAAGTAATAGTTTCACTCCAGTCTTAAAAATCTTATCTCCTAAAGCCTTCCCCTAAAACAAGGATTCACTACTGGAAGGTTCAATGAACCTTAGTCCCCAGCTCACAAACCTTATAAATTCCGTGCCAAGATGTCTCCTAAGTAGATGACATTTTAATGATTACTACAGGGAGCTGGGAACTATTGCTTCACCCTCGTGATCAGAGTAATTAATTTTCTTAACTACCAGGCCAAATTCTGCCACAGGAGTCCAGTTGAGGAATTTTAGGCCCATAGGAAGTACATTAGCTCTTCAAAATGATTAGGGTGCCATTTCAAATACTTCAAATATATAAGCAAAGGAGCTATTAAGCTTCTAGCTTATTTTAAACAACTTGCAACCCCTGTCCCTCTGGGGTTGGGGGAACCATGGAAAAGAAAAGAGAGAGAAAAAGAAAATAACAATTTGTACAGGTTCCTCATTTTCCAGTAAAAATACCCATGGCCTGCAAGTCGTTGGATATCAGGTATTGTGGTTGAAGGGGGCAGTGCCAGAAGACAGCACAGAAAAACATACCCTGCTCCAAAGCACACCAGACCTGCGCATTCAGAGGTCTGCATGGGAGGCAAAGAGCCTCACCAGTCTTTGCTTTTTTTTTAAAAGATTCATTTTTATTTATTTGAAAGACAGAGTTACAGAGAGAGGTAGAGAAAAGAAAAAGAGGCCTTCCATCTGCTGGTTTGCTCCCCAAATGGCCACAATGGCCAGGGCTGGGCCTATCTGAAGCCAGGAGCCAGGAGCTTCTTCAGGACTTGGGTCATCTTCCACTGCTTTTCCAGGTACATTAGCAGGCAGCTGGATAGGAAGTGGAGCAACTGAGACTTGAACTGGTGCCCACATTGGGATGCTGGTGCTGCAGGCCAGGGCTTTAACCTGCTGCACCACAGCACCGGCCACGAGCCATTGCTCTTGATGACCAGAAAGAAGGGTGAGTCTTGTGGGCTGTGAAGTCTGTTCTTCAACCATATCTAAGTTTTTTTCCACAAAATATCAGAAATGCCCACAGTGTGTTTTACAGAATAGATGAAATAGTTCCTCACCATTGTTTCCTCATGCAACCGTTATGTTTCCAGGTTATCATCGTTTAAGTTGCCTCTGACATGCTTTTGTAGAATATTTTATTTAATGTCCATGAAGACCACAGAGAAGCTTTAAATATCGGTTTACTCTCACAAAATAGCCACAGTCAACAGTTTCTCATTTCAATTCAGCATTCAACTGGCGTGCTTCCATGAGATTTGTCTACTCAGCCATATCATTTTTTCACCTTGGAATTCCATGAACAGCTGGACGATTTTCTTAGAGTCAATGCAAATGGCAAGATTTTTAGCTCTCCTTTCAACCTATTTTACAACGTGTAAGTCTCCTACGAGCTTGTTTATTTGCATCGAAAATCTGCAACCAATATATTCTTTTCCAAGGCTGTTTTCAAAAATCAATGAATGGCATGACTTCGTAAGTCATCTTTAAAACCAACTCCTTCCTAACACATTTTGACTTTCTCTGAATGACCCATGGGCAGGCAGGAGACCTTTTATGTTCTCCTTCCTTTAAAAAAATTGAGATTGTTTTGGCTTCCAAAATGCATGCCACAGAGTAAACCTGGCTAACTAGTTCAATTTAGCTCTGTGGAAATGCTTTAGTGTTTATTTTATGAATTTTTGGTAATTACCATGTATTATTTTTATCTTGGAAATAAAAATGTGGAAAACGACGTCAACAGCTAGAACACATTACTAACAGTAGTGGCAACAGGAGTTTCAGTGCCAGGCCCGTTGGAGATGTAGGTGATGAGATTCTGGTAATGTTTACACTGGAAACTGAGGCATAGGGAAAGGTCCTACCAGCTTCAAAATGCGTCACCAGGCTTTCAGAAAGTCGGTGCTGTGTTCTCACTGCGAGAATCATTGCATGTTAGACACCAAGGCAAGAGAATTGTCCCTAGGAAACCGTCAGGGGAGGCTGTTGATGAGAAGCACTGGAAGATCTGTTCCTGTTTCTAATCTTCACATCTGTCCCCAAATGAGACAGATTAGATCCTATCGCAAATTATTGCCTGGAAGGTGAAAAGGATTGAAACTGAGAACATGATACAAGATGCTGGCCAGGATGCCCGGGGAATGCAGAGAGAATAGAGTTGGGACTGGGCATGAGGACAGGGGAGTCATGTGGCTTGTTAATCATGTGAAAACAGCTTCACCGGAACTCTGGAGAACCGATTGAGATAGGCCAATAAGGAAACTCATGTTTTGGAAAAAAGATTCTGAGATGGGTGTAGAATTTTCCAGAATCCAGGAAGTCTGACAGTAATTTCATTCCACACTGCCACAGCAATTCTTCCTATACTTATACATACAAAATGTATTTGCTACCTAATATTTGCTAGGTAATGTGCATGACTTTTTTTTAACTTTTTTTTTTTTGACAGGCAGAGTGGACAGTGAGAGAAAGAGACAGAGAGAAAGGTCTTCCTTTGCCGTTGGTTCACCCTCCAATGGCCACCGCGGCCGGCGCACCGTGCTGATCCGATGCAGGAGCCAGGTACTTATCCTGGTCTCCCATGGGTGCAGGGCCCAAGCACTTGGGCCATCCTCCACTGCACTCCCTGGCCACAGCAGAGAGCTGGCCTGGAAGAGGGGCAACAGGGACAGAATCCGGCGCCCCGACCGGGACTAGAACCTGGTATGCCGGCGCCGCAAGGCGTAGGATTACCTAGTGAGCCGCGGCGCCGGCTGGTAATGTGCATGACTTTTTAAAGGTATTATTCATACACTCTTCACCACAGAAATAAGTTCTATTGCGATCTCCATTTTACTGATGAAAAAAGTGGAAGCTTAGGTTTGAGTGACTTGGCCAAGGTTACGTATACTCCCAGGAAGTGGCCGAGCTAAGACCCACATTCAGGTTGGTCCTACTCCCAAGCTAGACCTTTCTTGTTGCCTCACCCTCAGTGTCTCTTTCCATACCATTGTTAGGGTATAAAATGAAACATATGAAAAACTTTTACAATTCAATAACTCAAAGAAGTACTAACATTTTAGCAAATATTTTGCAGTCTTTTCTGTATGTACAATTTTCACATATTTATAATTATACTCTTTCTGAATATGTAAAATATGTATCCCTGATTTCATTTACCACTTCGCTCAAATTAAAAACAAAGCCATGAACCCCATTTCACTAAGTAAACATCATGTACATGTTCTATATAACCCAGCCGCTGCTCCAGAACACATATGCTGTTTCTGAGTTTAAACCATGGCAACAGAACTATCACAAACAGTTTGTATCTTCATAAACTCTTTCCTTCTATGTTACTTAGGAGAGAATGGTGAAATTGATGTACATGAAATGCTAAAATGTATGAAGATTTGAAAGGTCTTCATTCTTGGGACATGCTACAGATATTTTTTTCTCAATATGCTGGCTGCTACATCACAACCAACTGCATATTAAGGATTTGATTCAATATACACGTGCCAAAATGGGATTCACCCCATTTCATTAGTTTTTTAGAAGGCCATCCTCCTCATTCCCTTGTCTACACTTGCAAAACAGAGATAAGGGTACCATTCTAAACAATACTTTCTTTTACTTTTGAAAAAACTGTTGTCATGGGGACTATTTTCAGAATTACCCAGCACTGAAACCTCAGACTTATCTCTGAGGACAACTGGATAGAGGGGATAAAGAAATGTGAGGGAAAAAAAAGTTTTGAGTACTTTCTTTTGAAAAAAATCCCAAGATTTGGAGCACTTATTTCCAATTGATGTCCATCACTACAATCCAACTACAATCCCCTTGAGACCTATGGGTTTCTTTTCTCCTTTTATCTCTTTCACCCAGCACAGTTTTCAGATGACTTTCATAAACAATAAGCATCTCATGCAATTGTCTGGCATGTAATCTTTTAGTGGTTCTCTGCTTCTTAATTCTTTGGCTCTCAAACTCCAACTACTACTCATCAGCAAGTAAACTGTCTTTTTAGGTCTCCTGTTGATTGGCATCATCTTTATTTCTGCCAGAAGTAGAAAAACAGGAAAATGCAGTTGATTTATATTTTATAGAGCTAGAACTTGTTATTTATATCACAATCCAGAAGGTACCACAGGATCTTCTGGGGTCTTTAACTATAATGCCAGTTTTTGAAAGCGGCCGTTAATCAATATTGGTGATTGATGGTATTTTGAGGTGATAGCTTATTCAGAATCCCTGGTCTCAAGCTATGATAACAGGAGCACTTGAACTTGAGTATGATTAAACATCTTTAGACTTTGAAACTATACAACCTATGCAGGCATTGTGTAATTTTATGCTGAATATAATCACAACGCTTTAAATATTCTGGCTTTTGTGGACAGGATTTACATCCACCTTCTTTCTAGTCCAACTGTGCCATATTAAGCTTTCTCAGTTGGTAGCTGTTCTGCTTTGAGAAGAAAGTTTAATTCAAAGTTCTGCAAAAATGGTGATCTGTTCTGTTGACTGCAGAGTACGTAGGTCAAGTGGAATTTTTGGCACTTCATTATGTTCCCTGACCCTCACTAAACAAACTTGAAAATATATATATATTTGCAACAATTTGGAATAAACACTCCATACAAGTGTTGACGGTGGATTTTCTGAAGAACTACCAAATGCATCAAGACTAAGGAAAACATTCTAATGATTCTTTCAAACATGAATATATTTAAATTCTAGTTAAACAATCTTCTTATTTAGTCTTCTGAGGCTTTGATGACATGCCACGATTGGCTGTTTATCAAAAACTTAGCAAAAAAAATGCTTAACAAGATATAATCGTGTGCACACACTTGTGCATAATTAAATCCAGTTTATAAATTGATGCAGGGCGGAATATGGTCACACCATCCAAGAAAGGTTGGTAGCTGGCAAGTAACACTTCTTAGCCTCATCTACAGTGATACATCTTCAAATGTGAATGCTAGGAAGGAGATAAAATAATCTTATCTTATGTCTTAATTTAAGATTTAATTCATTAGTTTTTTACATCTCTATTAAACTGAACAAAGGTTCTAACAATATGAGGAAATTCATTTAGGTGTGATAAACACAATCAGACTTTAGTTGTGAATACTGGGATTGTGTGATACGGTCATGGAGGAGCCTCACCCTTTGAAGAATTTAATCTGTATAGATGCTGTGTGTGTGTGTGTGTGTGTGTGTGTATGTGTGTTGTAGGAGGGTTTAGCTGACTCTTAGTTTCTTCATTTTATAGACATCCTTTAAGTTAAAAAAATACAGGAATAATTGAGACTTGAGTAATGGATATTTCTCAGGAACTCCAAGACTAGGTGTTGCATTGCATTGCAGAGGATACTTTTCCATTTGTTTTATGACTTTGTTCAGTTAAAGTTTCAGAGATAGGAACTCCAGTATTTACTTGTAATGTGAAACCCTTTTCATGGTGTGTCTGAATCCTAAGGAAAAGAATTAATATTTGAGGAATGCTTACCTTGTGCCAGGCATTTTATATGCATTATCTCATTTAATTCTCATAACCACAAAACATAATTGATATTATTTAATCCAATTTTACTTGCCTGACATCATAATGGCAAGGCAGAACGAGGGTTAGACCATAGGTCTCTCTGTTTCTTTTAAGTCCATAATCCTTTTACTAACCTAACCACACTGAATTTCCCTCTGTTGCCATGATGTGGCAGTGATAGGACGAGACACTCTGACAACAAGGGATATTCTGAATTCTGGGACAAAGCTCCTCTCTGAGGATAAAATAAGAGAGAATCTAATATGATGAATTAGAGTAAACCTGTTTCCTAATGCAACGTCTGATTCAGCAAGTTACGGATTATCCATACCATGGGTAACTATGCCATCATTAGAAAGAATAAGTCAAATCTGTTTAATGATACAGAAGACTGTTCATATTTTGCAAAACAACTGTGGAACAAAATGAGCAGTATGATGCACTTTAGCAGTAGAAGCAACTATATGCACATACATATGTTTGCATGTACCTGGAAATAGGTCTGGAAGGACATATTAGTTACTTCTGCTCTATAAGCTAAGAGTAACTGGTAAACAAATATCACTCTTTAAGGGAGAGGCATCACGTTTGCTAATTTTTTGTACAACTGCATGCATTATATTCACAATTATAAATCATGTAATGGATTAGTTGAACAATCTGTAGTAATGACTCATTACAAGGAATGGATGATTAAGGAGATTTAATCTCACAAAGGCCAAACAGTCCAATCTATCTGATACTCTATCATCAGGCTTCAATATTACTATGTGTCTATGGTGGAAGCCAAAATTTCATCACTTGTATTGTATTCTGCCTTATCTAAAGAATGTGATAACAGAAGGCCACTGAGTCATTTAAAACTTAACATGTCCAAAATAGAGCTTTTAAACTTGCTCTTTTACTGAATTTGTTCCTCCTATAGTTTCGCCCATCTTTGTATGTAGCACTGTCATTTCTACAACTGCCCAAACTGAAACCCTAAGAGACACACTTGATTCCTCTTATGTGCAGGACCTCAGTTCCTGCCACCACCTGGCCAGCTCATCAGCCAAGAGCCAGCCTGGTCTGCTTTCTGCTTCTCAAATAGTCACCCTTCTGTGTCTGTGGGGGAAGGTTCTAGCACCCTTGTGGATACCAAAATCTGTAGATGCTCAAATCCCTTATATAAGATACTGTAGTATTTGCACTTAACCTACACACATCCTATAGTGTACTTAAATCTCTAAATTACTAATAATACCAAACATATTGATACTGTGTTGTATTGTATTAAATAGGGATTATCAACAAAGAAAAAGGCCTATACATGCTTAGCACAGACCCAGTTTTTTTTTTTCTCTGAATTCTTTTGATCCATGTTTGTTTAAATCTGCAGATAGAGAACATATGGATATGGAGAGCTGAGTGTACATTAAACTCTTTGGGGCTTGTGGGTCTTATCATTTGACTTTTTTCCTAGAATACTCTTCTCTTAGCTGTTTATATAGACAACACCTTATCAATCGAAACTGACATTTTACTAACGAGGAAATTGGATTTTAGAGAGTTTAAATCACATATTTGCAATCCCAGTACTTGGTACACAGTGGGACTAAGCCTGAACTCATATTGGAATCATTTCATGCTCTTTCTATTACATTAGATAACAAAGTCAAGATGTCCCATCCCAGGTCCTGGCGGTGGTTCTGACAATCAATCAGCAAACATTTACATGTTGAAAAGGCCAGGAAAAAATAAACCTTTTAGAAGTCCCTTTTGTAAGTTCTCCTTCCTATCTGTAGTACATTCTCCAGCTTCTGCAGAAAAATTTAGGTCAGCTATAGGGGAAATCATGAGATGGACACATTTGGAAACTCTTTAAGAGACTTGAAATTAAATGTTGCTCATTTAGGAAATGACTATAATGTGACACACCCAGAAATCTTACAACTTACTTAGTTAGATGCCCGAAGAGGACTTTCATGGTGTCACGATTTGGTGCAGGGAGTTTTTGTACAAGAGACTTCACAGTTTCAACTCTTGTGTTGTTGTCTTGCTTTTCTGAAAAAAAAAAAAAAAAAAAAAGACAAAAGAAAGTCAGAAAGGAATGAAATTTAATAGGTACATGAGAGAATTTTCTTAGAAGAATTTTGGACTGACTTCACAACTGGAATTCCTGATCAGTCACCAAAGGGAATAGGTATACTCAATCTAGTTCTGGTGGAGTTTTATTACATGGGCTCTGAATTACACCATGTTAACATCAATGCAGCAACAGTGTGACTGTGACACAATATTCCTCTTAAGATCCAGTACTGAATTTTTTTTCTCAAATCTCCCATTTGCAAAGTGTGATAGAATAAACAATGGCCTTACCAAGAAGTCCATGTCTCATTCCTGTAATCTGTGACTGTGGGACTGCATATGGCAATGGGACTGTGCAGGTGTGATTAAATCAGATTTTGAGATGGAGAGATTTTCTGGATAATCTCGTATGCTTAAATCAGATATTTTTGAGATGCAGAGATTTTTCTGGATTACCTAGGTAGGCCTGATGTAGTAAGAAATGTACTTATCAGAAGGAAACAGGAGGTTGAGAATCAGAGAGAGAAGGTGATGTGACAATAGAAGCAGGTAGTGAAAGATTATGAGATGAATGGTCATGTGCTTTGGAATGATGATATCCTCTAACTAGGAAAAAGGTAAGAAAAAGAACCTCCAAATGTCACTGAAGCCTACCCACATCTGAATTTTTGCCCAGTGAAACTAATTTTAGACGTGTCTCCCTCAACCCCAAGACTGTAGGAAATTAAGTTTGTGCTGTTTTGAGCCATTGAAATAACGATATTGTTACAGCAGCAATAAGAATGAGGAATGTGTGATTCACTTACAAATGTCCTACTATTCGCTTAAATTGGTGGAAGGGCAAAAGTTTTTTTTAAAATGAGTTCTGTATTAATATTTCTCTGTGACAGACCTTGGTTTTACTGTAAAATAAGAGAGTGCAAAAAAATGAAAATGGAAATATCTGAATACCTGGTTGTATACATTTCTCACAACAGGGGGTTGCTGAAGACTGCAAACCACAAAGATTGCTTTCCTTCATCTGGTTCTTTTTTTTTTTTTTTTGCAGGCAGAGTGGACAGTGAGAGAGAGAGAGAGAGACAGAGAGAAAGGTCTTCCTTTGCTGTTGGTTCACCCTCCAATGGCCGCCACCGCCACAGCCGGTGCGCTGGGGCTGGCCGCACCTCGCTGATCGGAAGGCAGGAGCCAGGTGCTTCTCCTGGTCTCCCAAGAGATGCAGGGCCCAAGCACTTGGGCCATCCTCCACTGCACTCCTGGGCCATAGCAGAGAGCTGACCTGGAAGAGGGGCAACCGGGACAGAATCCGGCGCCCCGACCTGGACTAGAACCCGGTGTGCCGGCGCTGCTAGGCAGAGGATTAGCCTATTGAGCCACGGCGCCGGCCTCCTTTTGCTTTTATAGGCATGGATGGGAAAACCAACTGAGTTACTTAGAACACTAGCAAATCCATCGCACACTTTTAACCAGGACACACCCATGCAGAACTGTAATTATTTAATGAACTCAGACACTTTAGGTACAGTTGCTTAAGTATTTTCCTTTTCTATACTTTATTTCTAACTTCCATCACAGACCTCCTGATCATTTTAAAATAATCCACCACCAGAAGAGATGATGTGTAGGAAAATGATAGGTAACATGGACATCTACTCAATGGCCATCCTCTTAGCAAGACAATCCTGTGGAGAGAATGGCAATATACCTAGCCCAAAGGGGCCATTGGCAGATGGATTGGGCTGGTGACCAAATCTGGCCAATGAGGCTTAAGGCCAACTGTTGTTGGGATTCAGCTTTCTCTTTCCTGTTTTTTTAGAATATAGATGGAATGGTTGCATTGTGAGATGACCTTGAAATTGAATCTATGCAGAATGGAACACACGGCCTGACAGAACTTCCTTGTATCTGTGAAGCAGTCAGAACAGTCTTGTATTTCCCACCTCTGAGTTTCTTTGCCATAGGAAAATAAACTCTTGGGTCCTTAAGCCTTTGAGAATGGGTCTCTGATACTAAGGTCAAACAGAGTTCCTAGTAAGATGTATTTCCAGAAGCCCAAATCATAATCTCCTGTTAATATATTTATAAACTTAATATAGTGGTATAAGAGAATTAGCTTAGAAACTGGTAGTTTCTTTGACACATTGTTGCAAAGGCAACATTTTATAAGGAATTATAGGAAAAAAATTCTGTTGAAGATGACATTTGGCTAAAATGGCATGGGGATAGTCTTCCTTATAGTCTGCTTGGAGGCTTTTTTTTTTCTTCCTAAAACCACAAAGTCCTATAAAAATGCCTCCAGCAGTCAAAGCTTTCCAAATTGCAGTTATTCTTAGAGGAGTCCCAGCATAATATGCCTGGACATCTGAAAATGAAAAAAGAAAAAAAAAAACAACAAAAAACAAAAAGCAAAGGGTAGAGAGAAGGAGAAAAAAGTTGTAACATCATAGCTTATGACAGACTTAATTTTTTCCCACTGAAGAGTAGAAAGCCCATTTGTAGTTTAATGATGGCAAGAAAACATGATTTTCCAATGACCAGTTTGGGCCTGAGGCCTAACTCAGAAAATGAAGTAAAATAAGTCAATAAAGATGATAGTATATTTGGCTTAATATACCCAGTACAGAGCTATTAAGGATGATTGGATACCTTGTACCTACCCCTCTGAAGCCAATACCACACAACAATGATTATACACATGCACACAAAAATCCAAGAGGTGGATACCTTATGTGTAGCCAGGCACACCGCTAGCAGTGTAATGTACCTGGGGACATGGTGAACCATTTGGTTCCAGCAATTAAGATGATACTGGGAATGTGGATGAGGGAAGTGAAGAGAGGAGAAATTTTTCATTTGTTTAAAATTTCCAACTATAATAATAATCAGATCAACGTCAGACTCTTGAAAAAGGGGATTAATTGACATTGAGAGCTACAGTGGTTGAAGCCATAAATTAAGCTTGACAAACAGCTATTAAGTAGAGAGTTGTCTTCATAGCTGTATCCAAAAAACTTCAATATTAGAGAATGTGTGATACAGTCAGCATGGGTTTAAAAAGGATGGACATTGCTTCATTGGGAATACTTGGTTTGCAAGGTCACTGCCATAGCACTTGGCAGGTATCATTACCAAGTCTTGTAAGCGACCAGGTAACAGAATTATGATTGATTCTCCCTCTCACGCAAGTTCCACTGAACTTAGAGCTTCTACTTATAAAACACTTCACATAGTCTACCACCACTTGAATGTCTGTCAGTTTTCCCACTAAATAGAGAAAATTCTGTATAAAGATGGGCAACGTTTGTACTGGTATGTGTGGATTAAATTAATGAAGCAAGAATTTGTGAACTAATAATGAAAGACATGAACATGGATTGACATGGTTTGAATTCTGTAGCAGAGTTTTATGAGTCGTGTGGTCTTGGACAAGTTTCTTTGAAGAACACCTAAAAGTAGTTTTATGGAATAAATAAGATAGTATGTAATGTGACATGCACACAATGACTAGTAAAACTAAGCACTCTATAAACGGTCACCTCCCCCCTCACCTTGTTTGAGATTCTGCTGAGTCTGGTTCTCCATTTATTTCCAGCACTTAGCCTACTATCTGGTTGTAGTGAACATTCAAAATGTACTTGCAAATTCTTGAACTGAGAGGATGCCAGTGGGTGAAACACAATTGCTATGGTAGCCATCCATTAAACAATGCCATAAATGCTTTCTGATGGGCTGCGAAGTTGATGATCTGATTGGTGAGCAGTTCATTTATACATAAAAATCCTTATAAAAGTATATGGTGGTTAACAAGTGTGCCAATAAGAAACATTCTACATGAATAATATTTTATGGAAATATTTCTCTCTCCCTTTCTTCATTCACACATATTTGAGGTATCACGCAGTTGGAAAGAGGTACACACATGTCTGTGGATAAGTTGTACTTAACTCTTAGAGGGGAACTGCATGATGCCTGAGAGAGCTGAACTATTCAGAAGGAACAAGTTTTTCTTACAACATAATCAGAACAAAATTTTTTGAAAAAATTATAGGAAAGTAGTGCTTTCTCATTCAAATCAATACCACACCCACTCTTCCATAGCTGGTAAAATCAGGAAATAACGCAAACGCTACTAAGTGGGGGAACATCTAAAAATACAATTGGATACATTAAAATCGAAATGACACCTTTTCAGATCTGGTTTATTGATGTGTCATATTAGGAATTGGAATCAGCATACATAATACAGGAGTGGTTAATGAGCTAAGATTCATACACGGCTTACTAAAGATGTGTCAACTGTCTTCAATTGATTCAGTGAGCATCTGAAAGACAGCATTTTCTATTAATATTTCTCCTTCAGCATATGGTTTCTCATTATCGTGAAGCACTGAAAGTTTTGAGAAGACTTTGAGATAGCTCTGACTTTTTTACATTATGACTGGGGTGGGGGAATGACAATTTGCTACTTAGAGAACTGAAGAAGCTCTTAGATAAGGCATATACAAAGAGACAAAAAATCTTTACAGAAATAATGAACATCATAATTCTTCCCCATTTCATTTACATTTGCTTCCTATCCTCATTCTGTTATGATTTATTTCTGTATCTACTTTATGTTTTAATACCTCCATTTTAGTCCCAGCCTGGATCGCAGAGCCGCTTCAATGTCTGCACTCTGAAACCATAGCTCCATATAAAACTTTTTTGCCATCCAGTAGTGAGTCTCAACGGTTTCTCACAAATGCTTACGCCTCACCCATCTGCCCCTCTTTTCTTTTTTTGATGATTATCTAAGTTGCACATGTCTATGGGGTTTCAGTATGGCAACGAGATGAATGTATACAATGTGTAATGTTAAATCAGGTTACGTCCCTATCTTTTCAAACAACTCAAACTCATTGTGGTCAAGGAGTTTCTTAGAAAACAACCACATGCTACTTAGAGAAGTACTGTCTTTCCCATAGAGGGAAATAGCTTTT